AGAGTCACAGTTGCAACTGAGCAATTAATTTTGAATGGGTTGGTGAATCAACACCTGCCTTTCCTAAAGTTGTGGCTAGACCACAGGTCTGCAGCCTTAAACACTCAAAGATCCATTTGGACCCGTTTCCCACAGAAAAGAAAACACCGGGAGCCACAAAACCCTTCCCGTGCCTGACTATTTCTTGAGCGGCCACAAAACTAGCATATGTAGTTGAATTAAACATTCTGTTTTTTTCTGAAACTTTTCTTTTCTTGGATTTATCCATGGTTGGCCTATCGGGGGTTGAAAAGCTCAATAAATCGGCAGGTGTCACACATTGGCAGTTGTGATGCATATTTTGAGTGACAGGAAGCCACAGCAGAGGGGTAAAAGAGCCACATGCAGCTCCAGAGCCGCAGGTTGCTGACCCCTAGGCTAGATGTACCCATTAGGTCACGGAGAGAGCTGCAGCGATAAGCAACTCTTTTCAAATCAAAGGGGCCCGTTTTCTGAGCCCCAAATAAACTTCCTTTTTCAACCCCAGAGATCTGCCGGATGACGGTTTTGAGGACTAACAGTCTAATTCAGGTAAAAGGCCTTTCTCTACGAACTTGCCCTCAGAACATCCCTTTGTGCGTTAAGTGGATCTTATGCCAAGGCTCTTATAAATTGTGTTTCCTCCGCCCCACCTTCCCTTTTTTTTTCGTTATCTACTTTCTGTTTGGGGTAAAATCAGAACCAGCTGCACCTTCCCTGCTGCACCCTTCTGATAAGGCTGTTCTGAAAAGAAGACGCATAGATGTCAGCCGAAATTCGCAGCCGGGGTGGGGTGAGGTAGGATGGGGGTCCCGCTATGCCTGAAAGGAGTAAAATAGGCAGAACTATCAAAGGAAGGAAGCTCTTCCTTCCCCCCTTCCCAAAATACAAACTCATAAATCACAAGCATGTGCGAGACGACTCCTGCCCGCACTCACACACAAATACACACACAGAGATATTCTCTTAAGTGTTTTGGGAATCGCTCGATTTTTATCTTGGCCTGCAAAACCTTATAGTTTGTCTCTAGAGACATTCCCAGGCCTGGATTGTGTTCATTAAGAGATGCTTAATACAAACGGATAATGTTTAATCATTCTTAATGCAATGAGTTTTGTAATTTACTCGTCTAAACAATTTACAGGCAGTCCTCGACGTACGACAGCAATCGAGCCCCCAAATTTCTTTTGCTAAGCGAGACAGTCGTTAAGGGAGTTTGGCCCCGTTTTACGATCTTTCTTCTCACAGTTGTCCTGCAGTGAGTCGACTGTGTTGAGTTAGACATGGCAAGTTGGGTGCAGCAAATTATCACAGGCCTTAAAGAAAAGGGAGGAGAAATCAGGCCTGCCAAGGCAGCACTTCCTTCAGCTCATTCCTACCTTCCCTCTTTTCAAGGTCCTAGCCCTCATGGAGTTTCTTAATCTGAGTTCATAACTGGGTCACTTAGGATAGGAGAATTATGCTGACGTGGGTTCTCCATCCTCAGTTTGTTTTGGGATATAGAGAATTGGGGGACGTAGTGGCTCAGTGGCTAAGACGCTGAGCTTGTCAATCGAAAAGTCGGTAGTTCAGCGGTTCGAATCCCTAGTGCCGTGTAACGGGGTGAGCTCCCGTTACTTGTCCCAGCTTCTGCCAACCTAGCAGTTCGAAAGCACGTAAAAAATGCAAGTAAAAAAAATAGGGACCACCTTTGGTGAGAAGGTAACCGTGTTCCATGCACCTTCGGCCTTTAGTCCTACCGGCCACATGACCACGGAGACGTCTTTGGAGAGCGCTGGCTCTTCGGCTTTGAAACAGAGATGAGCACCGCCCCCTAGAGTCGGGAACGACTAGCACATATGTGCGAGGGGAACCTTTACCTTTATCTTTTATAGAGAATTGACCCATAAGGAAGAAAGCGAGACTTATATTCACTTTCTTTAAATGACAGTTTTGTACCGCTGACCTCAATGCGTGGCTAGTATAGCTAGAAATAGGCTTTTCCAGAGCTTAGGAAAAAGAATGGCAGTCCATCAAGGATTTAAAAACGCATAAGATTGGCACATCCTTTTGTTTTTAGGAGAATGGTGCGTCAAGAGGATTGAGAAAGCTCCCCGTTAATGAGCTTGGAAATCAGTTGGATGTTAAAATGTGCCTATCCATGGCCAAGATTTCTATAACCAGATCCCTTTTCCCTTCCATAAAATTGATTCTTTAAAAAAAAAAAAAAAAAAACCCCCACCCTATTTTTATCATAAGGGGCTGCTCAGGGATTAAATTAGGCAGGAATGCTTTCGAAGAGGAGCATTTTGCTTTGCTTGGTTTTTTAAAAAATTCTCTTAATTTACAGGGTAAATCTTCTCTTTAACGCAGAATTGGGGAAGCTTGACCCCTTTATGACTTGTGGACTTCAACTCCCAGAATTCCTGAGCCAGCATGGCTGGTTCAGCATGGCTGGCTCAGGAATTCTGGGAGTTGAAGTCCACAAGTCATAACAGGGCCGTTGTTCCCCACCCCTGCTTTAGTGGGCTCAGCAAATGTAACTCCCCAAAAGGATGAGGAGGAGCACAGAGGCACAACAGTTGCACCTCTTTAAAGCAGCCGTGTGGTTTTTTTTTCCCCGTCAGCGATGGCAGGCCAGCTGTGGAAGGACCGAGTCTAAAAACTCCCTCAGCGGTGTTATATAAAATATGCTTGCACTCCATTCAGCTTCAAGCAGTTGTTCCTTAATGCTCGGTCGAACGAGCAGAGCGTAACTGAATCACGTTTGAGTAGAGCTGTGACCTCATAAACTCATTCATCCGGTTCCCTTGGACCATTAAAACACCATTTTTTCCAATTTTGGTTGAGCGTCTTGATTCTTTCGCCTCTCACGCTTCGGAGAGGGACAAATGCACTCTTAGGGGAAATGGTGGATATTGTTTCCAATGAAGAAAATCCTGAATCAGCCCTACATTTGCTCACTCCTTATTCTTTGCCTTCCTTCCCAGTAGAAACCAGTTGTATTTGAAGTCAGATTTCCTGTTGCACCAAAGCCAGAGTGGACCTGAAAAAATGGAAATCCCTTAAAATACTCCTCCCCCACCCCCTTGGGATTTATGTACAGGTAGTCCTTGACTTACGACCGCAATGGAGTCCAAATTTTTGTTGCCGAGTGAATTTTTCCCCATTTTATGACCATTCTTGCTGCAGTTGTTAAGTGAATTGCTGCAGTAGTTATGTTAGCAACACTGTTGTTAAGTGAATCTGGCTTCCCCATTGACTTTGCTCATCGGAAGGTGATTTACATAACCGTGGGACGCTGCAACTGTCATAATAACTATGAAACAGTTGCCAAGCGTTTGAATTTTGATCCACGTGACCATGGGAATGCTACAAAGGTCGTAAGTGTGAAAAAATGGCCATGAGTCACTTTTTTCAGTGCCGTTGGAACTTTGAACAAGTTACTAAGTGAACTGTTTTAAGTTGAAGACTGTACCATGTTTCCCCAAAAATAAGATCCTGTCTTATGCTTTTTTGAACCCCGAAATAAGCACTTGGCCTTATTTTTGGGGAAGCTCTTATTATTTTGTGGTGCGTGGAGGAAATGGCGGGGACCTGCTGCGCATGTGTTTAAATATTTTTGGGGAGGGGGCTTATTTTCAAGGGGGGCTTATTTTAGTGCATGCGCTCAAAAGCCCGATTGGGCTTATTATCAGGGGATGTCTTAGGTCTGCACAGAGATCAAGGCTGCAGTCTGTCTCAAATGATCATGATGGATTTGTTTCTGGTCAACATCATTGCTTAAGAGAAGGAAAAACAGTATTTCATTCTTCTCTCCTGCCCTTAGTTGCTGCAACAGGAATGTAAAAGAGGCCTTCCCACATGCACCATAGGGAAGATACCGCTCCTTAAGTCAGTTTCCCAATCCTGGATCCTTAAATTGTTTTGTCCTGTGTGAGCCATTGATCCCACTTGCTGAGGATGATGATGGGAGATGAAATCCTAAACAATAGGAGAGGCTCATGCCGGAAAAAGCATGTTGGAAGTGACGACCTCTTAGAAGAGGCATTCCGTGTTCCTTTTGCGCAGTTTCTTCTAGAATAGAATAGAATAACTGAGTTGGAAGGGATCTTGGAGGTCTTCTAGTCCAACCCCCTGCTTAGGCAGGAAACGCTACACCACTTCAAACAAATGGTTATCCAACATCTTCTTAAGTGTTGGAGCATTTACAACTTCTGGAGGCAAGTTGTTCCACTGATTAATTGTTCTAACTGTCAGGAAATTTCTCCTTAGTTCTAGGTTGCTTCTCTCCTTGATTAGTTTCCACCCATTGCTTCTTGTCCTGCCCTCAGGTGCTTTGGAGAATAGCTTGACTCCCTCTTCTTTGTGGCAGCCCCTGAGATATTGGAACACTGCTACCATGTCTCCCCTAGTCCTTCTTTTCATCAAACTAGACATACCCAGTTCCTGCAACCGTTCTTCATATGTTTTAGCCTCCAGTCCCCTAATCATCTTTGTTGCCCTTCTCTGCACTCTTTCTAGAGTCTCCACATCTTTTATACATCGTGGCGACCAAAACTGGATGCAGTATTCCAGGTGTGACCTTACCAAGGCATTATAAAGTAGTATTAACACTTCACGTGATCTTGATTCTATCCCTCTGTTTATGCAGCCCAGAACTGTGTTGGCTTTTACGGCTTTTTCTAAAATCTCTAAAACACGCTATTTTCAAAAGGTCCATGAAAAACCTGGCCTTTGTTGAAAAGGACAACTAATGGCCTACATTCTTGCAAGTGTGATATAAAAAATTTTGTAGCTCAGTTTCTTCCTTATCTGGGTGTGCCAAGAAACTGAGGATTTCCTGTCATTTGCACGGTCGAGCAAAGTTCACAAGATGGGATTTTCTCTTCCAGAGCTCTTGTTTCTGTGGAAGCCTTCATTTGTCCAAGGAGAAAATGAACCTCCTCCTTATCCCTTTGGAACCGCCTTCTTCTGATTTCACATTTGGCTTTTCTTTGCAGACCTTGAAACGCAAAGAGAAAGAGTATGAGCATGAGATGGAGCGGCTAGCCAGAGAGAAAATTGCCACGCAGCAACGTTTGGCAGAGTTGAAGAATGAGTTGAGTCAGTGGATGGATGTCTTGGAAATTGACCGGATAATCCGTCAGACGGTTCAACCAGAAGACGATCAGGCATCCACTTCAACTGCTTCAGGTAGGTTGGAATGTTTTGGTGCCGTTTCACGGCAAGATTCCATTTCGTGAAGATAAAAATTAAAGATTAAAAAATAAATAAAATATAAAAGGGAAGAAAGGAAGGAAAAGAAAGAGGGAGAGAAAGAAAGAAAGGAAAATAAAGAAAGAAAGAAAGAAAGAAAGAAAGAAAGAAAGAAAGAAAGAAAGAAAGAAAGAAAGAAAGAAAGAAAGAAAATATGTGCACTGCAAATAAAACTTGCATGTGCTGGAAAAATCACTTCAGTGGTGAGATGAGGGGCATATAAATTTAATAAATAAAATTACATAAATGAATAAAAAGAGTTTTTTTACTCGTCTATGTAACAGTACTACGCCATGAGCTGCCCTGCATTATCTATCATCTATCTATCTAATCTAAAAGCTGTGGTGGCTCAGTGCTTAAAATGCAGTATTGCATTCTAATTCTGCTGATGCCAGGGGTTCAATCCTCCCCGGCAAAAGGTTGACTCAGTCTTCCATCCTTCCGAGGTTAGTAAAATGAGGACCCAGATTGTTGGGGGTAATATGTAAACTGCTCAGAGAGGGCCTTAAAGCACTGTGAAGCGGTATATAAGTCTAAGTGCTATTGCTGTTCATCCATCCATCTCGATCTCTATATCTATCAACTATATATCATTTATCATCTCTCTCTCTCTCTCTATTTCTCTATCTAATGTATCTATCATCATCCTCTTTCTCTCTCTCTTTCTCTCTCTCTCTAATCTTCATCCATCCATCCTCTATCATCTGTCTATCTATTTGTCATCTATCTATTATTATTAAATTTCTATATATCGTGACCCAAGTGACTCTGGGCAATTCACAACACATGGTGTAAGAAATAGCGATTTTAGTGATTGGATGACCTGATTTGGCCTCCTGTGGGTTCCCGCCTTTTCCCTCAGGCAAAATTTTACATCTGCCTTTGTTTTATCTCCCCGCAGAAGGAGAAGACAATATGGATGAGGACATGGAAGACAACAGCCCTGTCAATTCGTTGCCGAAGCTCGCACATCGCCAGCATCCCGAGCTCCTGAAAGCAGTGGCCCCCATTGTTGCTGCCCATCGCCCATCGGTTCTGCCGCTGGCCCAGAAGCACGTCCCGCCCCACGTCCCACCCCCACTCCAGCCCCAGGCCCTGGTCCAGCCCCAAGCGATTGTCCCTGCACAGACTCACCTCGTGGCGGCCTCCACCGTGCAATCGACTGTTATCGCCCACACGGCCACTACCCACGCCTCCGTCATTCAGACTGTCAACCATGTTCTCCCGGGCCCCCAGCCTAAGCACATTGCCCACCTCGCACCCTCGTCCACCTCCAGCCCTGTCCAGCTGACGACCGCAGCTCAGCCCATCGGCCACATCACTGTGCACCCGGCCACCATCAACCACGTAACCCACCTGGGGCAGCAGCTTCCCCTGTACCCGCAACCCGTGGCGGTCAGCCAGCCCGTGGTGGGCCACATTGCGCACGCCATCTCTCACCAGCAAGTGAATGGAACTGCCAGCCTCGGCCAGCCAGCGGTCATGGCGAAGCCCGGCGTTGGAACTCAAGTTGTGCACCACCAGCAGTTGGTGGGCCAAACGGTCTTGAACCCCGTCACCATGGTTACCATGCCCCCTTTTCCCGTAAGCACCTTGAAGCTGGCGTAGAATCAGCTGCAAAACAACTGGATAAAACTCCATACATTCCAACTGTGAACCCGTGGCAGAGATGTTAGGGGTGAGAGGGTTGGTCACACCGACCCTCCGCGAGAGGATGGCGCAAGAGAGAGAGAGAGAGTGAGGCCGCGGAACGGGCAGAGATAACCTTTCCTCCCTCCATCTGTCCCTTCCCCAGTTTTTTTTTCCCCCTCCTGTTTTGATTTCTCTCGAGAAAGTCGGTCATGGGACGGGGGGGGCGCGTGGGGGTGGGATAGAAAAACCCATAAGGGCTGCTTCTGCACTTGAATTTCCCCTAATCAGAGAGAAAAAAAAATAAATCAATAAACTGTCCTTCACGGTGATTTTTTCCCCCCCCTTTTGACATGTAATCAGTGAAATAAGACTGTAATAAAGTTCTTAAGACTTCGACTTTTCCTTTCAACCACCCCAGCCGCCACGACCTTTTTTTGTTTTTTTTAACTTTATTATTTTATTTTATTTTTTTATGTGTTGCTTCTTTGTAGTTCCTTTTTTTTTTAATGGCTGATCTCTTTTATTATTAAGACTTTGCATAGAGGAAAAAGAAAAAGAAAATCATAGAAAATATATATATATATATTTATATATATATATCTACCTGCGTATAGCTACATATATATATAAAAATATGGTTCTCTGTGAACACCATCGATGGGCAGATCTTTTTGTTTCCAGGATTAACGGACACATGTCAACATCGCTCCTCCTGCTGTGAAAGGAGGGAAGAGATAGCATCCTTTTTCTTTTGTTTTTAAAAGCATCTTGAAACAATATAGATGGTTTTGTGGACCAGGGTATTTAAAAAAAAAAGAAAAAAAAAGGCAAAACACATTATTCCTTTCCCAACTCCCCACTATATTTACATTTCAGTAAAATCATCCATAATCACTGTGACTTGTTATGACATTTTAAGGATTCCCTCTGTCTAATAAAAAGGTTTAAAAAAAAACTAACAGGTTGCACACCCGTGGATTTTGTGTTTATTGTAATACTCAAACCACCTGATTGATTTTTTTAAAAATTTGGTTTTCTTACCTGCTTTTATGCCTGACTTGGGGTTTGATTTTGGGTCTTTGGACACCTAATGATAGGTTCTTGCATGGCTTGGATCCAGTCTGTGGCTTGGATCCAGATAGAAATGAAAACTCAAAAAAAATCTTGTGATCTGAAGAGCAGGAAGCAATTCGTAATTCCCCTCTGTTGAAATGCATAATTCAGCTCCTTGCTGATGTAACAATAACAGAGTTGGAAGGGACCTTGGAGGTCATCTAGCCCAACCCCCTGCTCACCCAGGAGACCTGTACCGGGGATTCAAACCGCTGAACTGCTGACCTTTCTGATCGACAAGCTCAGTGTCTTAGCCACTGAGCCACATAGTCAGGCATGCTCTTAAGTTTTATTCCATCTTTTAAGCGGTACGAAGATGGAAGCCAACACGGTAGGTTTGTGTGACGGTAGTAAAAATGTTGGACCCTCTAAACCTTGAAGGGATTTTAAGGATAATCTTTAGGGATTTTTTTTTTTTTTTACTTGTACATTTTATTTCTAGTTCAGGGAAGTGAAACGTTCAGAGAAGCATGCAAAGAAGCAAAACTGCTGGATTTTATCAAGCAAAATACTGTTCGCTCCTTGGCAGTTCTGGGTTGCACCAACCCAGCTGGAGAACTTTGTCTGAAGTACACTTGGGTGGATCAAAGTGATTTGGTTAATTCAGTAAACTGTGATTAAATAAACGATGCCGTAGCATAAACAAACAACAGAGAGGAAGCTGTTATGTGCGCATTTTCCATGAAGGTTTGTCTAGGAGAGAAATTGCTCTGTGAATTCGCTGTTTTGGGTAGAAAAAGGGGAGAGAGAACTTATTTTCATGCTTGACCAAGCTTCTTGCCTACTTAGCCAGTATTATTCTGACGTTAATTCTTTTGAGATTTTGGATGGGATTCTTTCTAATCAAAATGAAAGCCACCAAGAGCTAACAGCCAGAGACCACCTATTTTAACCGATCCTCTGCTACTACTTTGTTTTCCCCAAAATAAGACATCCCCTAATAATAAACCCAATCGGGCTTTTGAGCGCATGGCAATAAGGCCAAGCGCTTATTTCAGGGTTCAAAAGAATATAAGACGGGATCTTATTTTGGGGAAAACACGGTAAGATTTGCTAAGCCTACCCCAAACCACATTCCTTTGGACTGTCTAGAATTGTATTGGCGAGGCAAAATAACAGTCTAGGTAGAGATCTGGTTAAGAGTCAGGAAAACTATTTTACCTGTTTTGAGATGGGTGAAAATTTATTTCCCCATCTTTGGTGACCAACCAGCCATCTCTTTAAATAAGCTAGTGTTGAGCATTGCATTCATGCTGATTAAAAAAAAAAAAACATTTAAGGTGCCCAATACCAAACACCCTAGCGCAGCGTTCGCACCACACAATCTTGATGAAAGATGGGAGCAATTGGCATTTATTCCAGATGCTTCGATTGTGGTTTAGAAGGGTTTGCTTTGGGAGCTCGAACCAAATCCAGAGGGGCTCCTTCAGTAATTGGTTGCAGCTGTTGTGTGAACCCAGCCTAAAGGGTTCCAATTGGTTTGCCTGTGTTTTTACATACCAGTAGTTTGGGTTTGTTTTCATCTTGATTTGTAGTTTAACAATCTGCCAAGAATAAATCCAGCAGAATGGTCAGTCTCAAATCATTCTGCATTTAGGTCAGTGGTGAAATCCAAAGTTTTTTATTACCGGTTCTGTGTGTGTGGCTTGGTGGGCGTGGCAGGAGAAGGATACTGCAAAATCCCCATTCCCTCCCCACTCCTGGGGGAAAGATATTGCAAAATCTCCATTCCCACCCCCACACTTGGGGGAGCCAGAGGTGGTAGCTGCCAGTTCTCCAAACTGCTCAAAATTTCCGCTACTGGTTCTCCGGAATCTGCTGGATTTCACCCCTGATTTAGGTGCTGTCATGGGCTCCAGTAAGCGGGATTTTCTAGTTAAATTCATTGCTGTATCCAAGGTGGATTTTTTCAAATTTTAAGTGTGCTTAGAATGGCTGATATAATTATGACACAAGAGTGTTGTGACTCCTTTTTCTTCTGTTTTACTAGCGGGTTGCCAGGCAGTGAAACTTTTGTCTAATAATCCATGTTAGAAAACATTTGTTTTTGTTTGGGGAAAATGTTCCTAGAAGCTAGGGTCTGAATGAATGACACTTATGACAAATGCATGGGAGTCTTAACATACAGGTAGTCTTTGCTTAGCGACTGCCTCGTTTAGTGAGCATTCATGGTTCCCACAGGGATGCAAAAATAACTTTCCAATCCTTATTTTTATAACCGTCATAGGCCTGTAAACAGGAAAGCACAGTCAACTGTTTCACTTGGTGCTTCACATAACAAATTGCAAGTCACAATTGTGGTCGCTAAACAAGGATTCCCTGTATTTAAATATTTCCCATTTGACTTCCTGCCTAGTTGAATATTTTGGGGTGTCCTAGGAAACTCTTTAAATGGAAGACTTACAAACAGCAGCCACATCCAGAGTTAAGACCGCAGCAGCTTTGGATGCTGGCAAAGTTATAGAGTTCTTTCCTAAGAAAGGCCTTTCTATCCTTATCCCAACACTCTGGCTCAGTTGGGACTACAAAGCCCAGGATTCCCCCTGCTACGTTTTAAGAATCTTGAGGCACAAATAGCCCAGTTTGGCAATGCCAAATATGAGTGCTAATGCTTTCTGGCTATGCCAGGAATGTCAAACTGGATTTCTTCGAGAGCCAGATCAGCATTGTAGTTCTCCGCTGCGGGCTGGCAGGGGGGATGGGACGGATGCCTCCTCCAGCACCTTGCCGGCCAAAACGGGCCCCAGGGGGGTCTGCATGCAGCCCCCCTGCCCCTTGTTTTCACCTTCCATAGCCTGTTTTTGGCCCATTTTTTGAGGCCGTTTTCAGCTTGTTTTTTGGGCAGTTATCGGCTCGTTTTTCGACTGTTTTCTATCCATGCCAATTTTTGGGACTGTTTTCGGCCAGCAGAGTGCTGCAGGAGGCCATGGAGGATGAATATGAGGTGCAGGAGGGCTGCAGGCAGTCTATTTTAGCCACCACAGGTCCCGCGGACTGGTCCTTTGATATTTCCAGGCCTGACCCGCGAGCCGGATTTAAGCACCCTGCAGGCCTTGAGTTTGACATCTCTGGGCTATGCTAATGGGCTGGAAAAGTGGAATGTTCTGAAATCGGTTTCCCTTAAAAGAGGGCATGGCTGGTTGAAACTCTGATTTTAAAAAAACTCCCCCCCCCACCTCAATTATTGTGTTTGCAAGAGAATAGCCTGCCACCTACTGCTGACATTTAGAGGGACTGGAGTCCATTGACATAACTCAACAACAGGATTTTCCAACTGACTCCTTTTTCTCAGCCAACAGTTGAGTTACTGAGCTGTGCCTCTCCTCCAGAAAACCCGTTCCGATTTCCTCCATCTCAGCCATCCAGCACAACTCACTCATTGGACAGATTAGCCTTTTGGGGTTGGGGGGGAGAGATACTAGTGTTAATTTTAGGATACACCCAGTGGTGGGATTCAAATTATTTAACAACCGGTTCTCTGCCCTAATGATTTCTTCCAACAACCAGTTCACCAAATTGCTCAGAAAGTTAACAACCAGTTCTCCCAAAGTGGTGCGAACTGGCTGAATCCCACCACTGGATACACCTGCTTGGAGAGTGCTGGAGGCTCTTCAGCATTTGAGGTTGCCGATTGGAACGTCCCCCTGAATTGTCAGAGAGTGTGGATAATTGGCAAATGTGGTTTGTCCCAAGCCTAGCCTGAAATGAGCAGACCACTCATCATGGCTTGTGCTTCACATTTGTTCCGTATCTAGATTGGGGCAGTGGTGAAATCATTTTTTTTTTACTACCGGTTCTGTGGGCGTGGCTTGGTGGGCATGGCTTGGGCGTGGCAGGGGAAGAATACTGCAAAATCTCCATTCCCTCCCCACTCCTGGGGGAAGGATATTGCAAAAGCTCCATTCCCACCCCTCTCTGGGGCCAGCTAGAGGTGGTATTTGCCGGTTCTCTAAACTACTCAAAATTTCTGCTACCGGTTCTCCAAACTGCTCAAAATTTCCACTACCGGTTCTCCAGAACCTGCTGGATTTCACCCCTGAATTGGGAGGAAACTGCCAACTGCCCCCACAACATTGTATTTTAATCCTGCCTTATTATAATTCAAGCCTCAGGCATACCTCATTCTTCTGCTTCCTGAGTTCCCCCCCAACAACCACTTCTTGCCTCCAGAAGTTGATGATGCTCCAATACTGGAAGCTTTTAAAAGGCGACTGGACAGCCACTTGTCCGGAATTGTATAGGTCCTAGAGCCATGATGGCGAACCTGTGGCACGTGAAGCCATATCTGTGGGCACACGAGTGTTGCCCTAGCTCAGCTCCAGCACGCAGGCATGTGCCAGCCACCTGATTTTCAGGCCTTCTGGGCCTACTGGAAGTCGGGAAACGGGCCGTTTCTGGCCTCCGGAGGTCCTCCATGGAGATGGGGAAAGCTGTTTTCACCCTCCTCAGGCTCCTAGAAAGCCTCTGGAGCCTGGGGAGGGCAAAAAAACAGGCCTACTGGGCCCACCATGCCATCACATGCCAAAACCGAGGGGAGTGCGGGGGGGTTGCGTGCGCATGTGCAAGGGGTGAGTGGGGCGCATTGAATGATGGGTGTGGGCACGCGCATGCGTAACCCCCCTGTGCTCCCCCCACTTTTGGCACACGGCGGCAAAAAGGTTAGCCATCAGTGTCCTAGAGCAAAGGGTTGGACTAGGAGACCTCCAAGGTCCGTTCCAACTCTGTTATTCTCTCTATGAGGTGGATTGGGCTGAGGGGGAGTGATTGGCCCCAAGGTGACCCAACTGGCTTTCTCATGCCTAAGGCAAGTCTAGAAATTACAGACGCCTGGTTTCTAAGCCAGCTC